CCTTTTACAAAGTTATAAAGATGTAGTTTATGAGCCAGCATGGGATTTCATGAGCCAGCATGGGATTTCAATATTGGGCTAGGGCTGGGTCTGCATCAACCAGAATATTCTAGGATTCTTCATTTTAGTGATGTCAGGGTTGAGATCCTGGATCTGGTAGGTGGAGTGTGAGGTCTCACATCTGAAGCTTCATGTCCTTCAACCTACAATGCCACTCTCAAGCATTTTGGGCACTGCTATGGCTATCTAGTGCCTGGAGCAGGAAAGAGAGGGAAGGAGGCAATTGAGCAACCGGGATTGCAGCGCATCTCAATCCCTGCTGCAGCACTCAAAAAGAGAAAGAGAAGCAAGGTTGCTTTGAGGATTGACCATGTTACTCTTCTTATGGCTGCAGCCCCTGCTGTTCAGTCACCTTCTCCCACACTCTCAACCACTATAGGGCTGTGGTGGTACCCCAAAGGATGCTACCCAAGAGGCAGCTGCCTTGGGAGGAAGTTTTGGATGTTGGATACACAACACAATAATCTAACACAAGACATAATGTGTGCTTGCATGCTACCTACAGACATTCAGACCAGGTGTGTATCTTAGTCTTAACCAGAGGCTGGAAAATGTTACCTTTTTGGGCTAAAGCTCCTGGATTCTCCCTTCTGGAGGCCACAGTGCAAAGACAAACTTTTCCAAGCTCTAGTCTCCCCCTGGAACAAGGGTAATAATGTGTCCCTTAGTAAATTCTTTAATTCACCTAGACCTTGTTGCAGCTTTGTCAGCAGTGGCTGAAGGATGGGGTGACTCAGCCTCTCTGTTCTTCCTATGCCTAATTATGGGTTTCAGAAGTGTAAGCTCCAGCCAATTCTTTGAGGCAGTCACCCTTTTTAATTACATATTTTTGCTAATATGTAGAAATTGCTAAGAGGCTATTAGGACTGGGCAAAAGTGTTGTGTGTCAATGCTTAGGGTCACTGGGCATATCTGGCCTTCCTGTGTGAACAGCGCATCTCCAAATAGAGATAAAGCATTTCAAGAAGAAGCTGACCTTGTTTGTCTTTCTCCTTCTCCTCCTCCTTTCCTCCTCCTCCTCCTCTGAATTCCTTCAGAATTCCTTCTCAATTCCTGGTTCAGAACTGCATTTTAGGATCCATCCACACTGCAGAAATAATCCAGTTTGACACTGTTTTAACGGCCATGGCTCAATGTTGTGAAATTCTGGGATTTATAGTTAATTATTGAACCCTGATCTCCACAGTTGTAGTCCAATGCTCAAATCACTTCTCCATGCTGGCTCTCATAACTTCTTGGTGTTTCTACTTCACAGGTTTGCTGTCATGATAAAGCATGCATAGTATCTTGGTTTCTGGTGAGGAGGCAGGATATAAATATAACTTAATAGATAAATAAAAGATTGTGGTCTACCATGACTTTTGGTTCAAAATCCTAAAATGTATGTGTATAAATGTGAAATTTGGCTGCTGTTCTTAAACAAAGCCATCTTGATGAGTCTGCACTGCAAACATTCGACAATTCTCGTGAGAGATCTTGTCTTCTGCATAATACCAAGACGTGAAAGGGTTCTTTAAAATCATAATTTGTGAAAGATTATTAATGTAATTTGTGCCAAACTACAAACATAATTTATTCAAAACTAGAAATGTAAGTTATGACATATATATTTGTTGTTATATGCCTCTTCAAGCCATAGACTCATAGAATCATAGAGTTGGAAGAGACCACAAGAGCCATCCACTCCAACCCCCTGACATGCAGGAACTCTCAATCAAAGCATACCCAATTTGTTCAGAGGTGCTTTGTTGCCTTCCCCCGATGTTGAGAGAGTGTAACATGTCCAAGATTACTCAGTGGATTTCCATGGCTGAGCAGGGATTTGAACCCTGCTCTCCTGGAGTACTAGTCCAACACCCAAACCATTACATTGACCTGGCTCCTTTTTATGCAATATTACAAATATAATTTACAGAAAACTCCAGGTTGCTGAAAGCAAGGCTTTCATTGCCTTAACAACAGGCTTATTTTTGGAAATAGTATTGTGATTTTTCTATTGGATGTCCCAAAGACTCAATGTGTGCAAGAGGCACCTAGCTGGCAAATTTAGTATTTAGCATCTCTCATGAAATACTGCACACTTTACTGAATGTGCAAAAACCATCCACAGATTTTGCCATTTTCCTCAGAGAAAGAAAGGAGGAGGGTGGGGAATCAGAAGATCGTGCCCTTGTAGTAAGGCATTTCCCCCCACTTCCTTCTTACAAGCCAAGTGAGGACAAATCTAATCAGGATTTACATTCCTAGTACACATGCATATATGTATGTGTACAGGTATAACTGAGGACATATGGTAGCATTGATAACAAAAGTAACCTCATATGCTGTACAAAGTGACTGAAGACAAGATATGTAGAGAAGAGGCATACACAAGCAAAGCACCCCCAACAAATGGCCAACCAGCCTCTCTTTAAAAACTTCCAAAGAAGGAGACTCCACCACACTCCGAGGGAACATCTTCCACTGTCAAACAGCTCTTACCATCAAGAAGTGCTTCCTAATATTTCGGCAGAATCTCTTTTCATGTAGCTTGTATCCATTGTGTAATGTCCTAGTCTCTGGACAGCAGAAAACAAGCTTGTTCCATTCTCAATATGCCACCCCTTCAAATATGTAAACATGACTATCATGTCACCTCTTAACCTTCTTCAGGCTAAACATACCCAGCTCCCTAAGCCTCTCCTCATAAGGTATGACCTCTCTAGACCCTTCACCATTTTGCTTGATCTCCTCTGGACCTTCTCCAGCTTGTCCACATCCTTCTTGAATTACCTGGAACACAATACAGAAAACATTCAGGGGTAGCTATGTTGGTCATTTAGCAAATTCAATCAAAAATCCATTAGTGATACCTTTATCAGACAACCAAGATGCACAATATACTTCTTGCAAGTTTTTGAAGCTCCATGGGCTTCTTCTTCATCAGGCAAGATGTTACAAACCAAAAAGGAGAAAAACAATTGGAGATGTTAGTCAGATGCCTACATGTTGTTTCAGTCTTTAGTTAAGATGGTATCTGGTGGGGAGGATATCTTTTGCAGGCAGGATCCTCCTCCTTCTGGCCATATGGCTATAGGGAGGTTTCTAAAGTCCAGGAAATTTTGCATCTCAACAGGAATGTGGCATTATTACTTCCCTCAGTCTAGACATTATACTCTTATTGATGCAGCCTAGAATCTCTGCAGCCTTTTTAGCTGCCTCATCACACTGTTGACTCATGTTCACTTTGGTCTACAAAAAGATTCCTAGATTTGACGATGGGGACAATTGGGGATCCTGCTCCACAATGTACATTCTGTGAACATGTGAACAGAACAGTTCATTAAAAATGGGAACATTTTCATGGAGACAATGATTTTTCCACATCAATAAAGAATACCAGTACAATAATAAAATAAATTATAAATCAAAGAGTGAACAACAACCAAATGTTGGAAAGCCAGAGTTTGGAAAAATTACCCTCTTGGGCTGTAGATCCCAGTGTTCCTCAAGCTGGATTAAGATTCTGGAAGTTGTAGTCCAAATCTTTTCAAACTCTATGGGCTACTGGATAAGTGACATGGGGAATGAGGACAAGGTTAATTATACCACCCTGAATGCCATGTTTACCAGCCTGAACACACTGGATTTCACCTGATTTTGAAAGCTAAGCAAGCAAAAGTCTGATTATATTCAGATGGGAGATCAGAAGAATTTTAGGGCTCCTCATTTATGGTTATGAAAAAGATTCCTGCCACTAGTGAGACCAGACAATAGACTAGTTTTGACTCAATATGAAACAGCTTCCTATATTGCTATGGACTGGCAGGTTCATACAGAGGGAAGAATACACATGTCATTTTACTTACACTCAGCATAGAAAAGAATCTTGGAAGATTTAATAAAGAAATATTTTGAATGCACAACTTTTTGCCAAGTTCCTTGGCACTTCTCATAGCTGTGATTACTGCCACATTTATACTTTAAACTAATCTTTAAAAAGTGGAGAATAAACAAAAGGTTTGGGGGGAAAAACACCTCTTACTACTTTGCTAAGAAAATGAAAATATCAACTGACATCCCATTGACAAGTTACATCATTGCAAACCAAGTTACGACTACGTAAAGTTTAATCACACCACTGTACATTCTCAGAAGTAGAAAGGTAGTGATTCCATTGGGACCATAGTGTAGGGTGGCTGTTGTGTATGGGTTCCTTTGATAAAGGGGGGCTCCTATCACATGATGGGATGGCTGATATTCAATGGGAGTCCCCATTGCACAATGGGACATCAAATGGAGTGTCCCAAGGGGCAACATTGCAGTCCACTAACAATGTTGGGTCAGAAAGGGATCATTGTAA